TGGTACAGGGCATCTTGTTTCTTTATGGGCACTGGTAAAACACATGATTTGAAGACATGAAGTATTGGGAGAAAATATTTATGAACTCAATTAGACTTTGATGTTTATGAAAGAAAAAATCATCCAAAAAATATACTACATCTAGTGAACTCCTATTAAAGAATGCAGAGGAAGTGAGGTAATGTTAACAATTCATCTATTACCAAAAAGAAGATGAAGGATATGGATAATGAACCCAAATACACTAACTCACACAAAGCCTCCTCTACTTACATTACTGTAGAAATTATTCATAATTGTCTCTTAAAATAACTATAGGGAGAGTTTGCTGTTCTCTTTTATTTTAGATTTCTGTTCAAATGTCATTAAAATCAGAGAGGCTTTTTCTGGCCATTCAACCTAAAACATAACTCTACTCAAACATAACCCTATCCCACGATTCCCATCTCCAACATTTTGTACCTTCAACATTTTGTACCTCCAACCAGTTTCAATAGTCTTCATACCAATTCTGACTACATAATATTTCCCTTATTTTCTGTCTTTCTGAAAAATAGAGTGATCTCCACGACATTTGGTTTCAGTACTACATCTTTAGCATGTAGAAGAATCCTGGTACAGAGCAGGTATTCAACATATATGGTGGTTTTCCTTTAATCACATACATCCTATTGCTTCTTTATCATTCTATCTTGCATGCTTCCTTTAAAGCAATGAGTGAGCCGTGAGGACAGCCCAGGGCCAGTTAGAGATGATGTCACAACCCACTGTGACAATAGGATAAGATTTCAAGTTGGCTCCTATAGGAAATGAATTAATGCATGCCACCTTAAAAATAAGTATGGGATAATGGTGTTGTGGATGCTATATAACCAAGGGGATGGCTTATTCTTATTTCTTTGCATCTGTAACCACATGTGGTTACAGATGCAAAGAAACCACAATACTTATCATGTCAGATTCTTTTGCAGCTAATGGGGGAAACAGTGTAATTGTGTTAGCCTCTGAGATGTGAGCACAGTTGCTGAGTTGTTATTCTAGAAAATCTTGTAAAAGAGCAGAATTAGCCATAATGTTCCATTGTCCATTCACCCTTTTCTTCATGTTATTGGATTAACTGTGGATACAAGAGCTGGATCTCTAGAAGATATCACATAAATGTACAGCTTGAAAATAAGAGACAAAGGATGTCAGGAAATACCTGTTCCTTGATGGTGCTCAGGCATTTACTCTTCACTGTCTACCTGGGTCCCTCTTAGTACATGAGTGAAATAGACACCTGCCAATTAGGCCATTGTTAGCTAAATCTTCTTCACTTTTTCTTTTCATGCTCATGGAAATACACATTCCCTGGCTAATATCATTCATCTATAAACCCTGAGGTTTAGAAAGAATAATAGCAGACCAGATCCTTAGTTTAGAGCTGTAGCAATATGGAGATGGAATAAATTTTAAGAATTTGGAATGAGAAAGCTGTTTTACTCAATCTTACTTCTTTAATATGTAGTACACTGCCTGCTATATATACTAGACAATAAAAATGTTTGCTGACTGATGCTTTTTTCCATATTTTTAGTAGACTATTTTGTAATAACACAACACTTAAAAGATATATTAGGATGTATAGAAGAAGGTCTAGTAGCAAATCTTAATTTAATGGATAACAGTATTTATTAAGTAATTAACATTTACTGAATTCATATTATCATCTAGGCACTATGGTCAAATTATTTGTACATTTAAAAAAATTCTCACAGCAATTATATAACCTACGTGTTATATTATCACTACTACTGCTGCTGCTGCTACAGAATTTCAAAAATATTTATTTTTTTTATATTTATTTATTTTTTTTTAGTTCTCGGCGGACACAACATCTTTGTTGGTATGTGGTGCTGAGAATCGAACCCGGGTCGCATGCATGCCAGGCRAGCGCGCTACCGCTTGAGCCACATCCCCAGCCCTCAAAAATATTTAAATAACAAGCAAAAATCACATAGTTAGGTGATATAAGAACCAGTATTCAAGGTCAATGTTATCCCTAATCAAACCTATGTTCTTAAATAACATGTACTAATAAAACATTCTAAAGCTGTTTTCTCCAAAAAAAGAATTCTTTAATTCTCAAAAGCTATTTTTGGCAAAAGAGCAAATAGACATAAAAAGTTCATTTGTGTTAATGATTATTTATTATTAATCAATTGTCACTTCCTAAATAAGTTGTTATGAAATTCATTATTGCTGATACATCAGTTGGAGTTTTTATATGCACACACGAGGATGGGGAGKTAAATACAGCCATTCAGATGGAGAGTTTCATGTCAGCTCTGGGTTGCTATTGGGACTCTAGATTATTTGCAGCATTTTTATTTTAAAATCCTGGAGTCTTTAAAATGTGACACCACAACCTGCATAGCGGGATATTGATAAGAACAAGAATGAAGGAGGTGATTCAGTAGATACTTAAATGGCAAAAAATATAGTGCAAATTTCACACGCCCTGGAGACAGCGGGTTTATATGATAATAAATAATAGTTACCACCAGGACAAAGGAAAAGGTGCTATGAAATCCAATAGCTCAGGGAGAAATCTGCTAATGCAGGTGGTCGAGCCTGTTCCATTTCATTGTCAAAGGGAGGCTATTTATTTTCTTCTAGGTGGTTAAATTACAGAGTCATTTATTGCTGAAAGTTTTCCAGTAGGCAGATGTGAATCTAAAGCTTTAGGCTTTAGGTTCAAAGTTTGTGAGGAAAATAGAATAAGAATTTACTTCATGGATATCACAACTGATAATATAAAATATGAGAGAACCTCTGGAAATATCCCAATTGAAGCCTCCTTACTACGTACCTTGGGTATAGGTCAAGGGCCAAAATTCTGGATAGAGTAAATAATAATTTTAAAGCTCTTTCAAATATTTCCCTTTTGATAGTCTCTCAACTGGACAAGATGTCAATGAGTGTGTGTGTGTGTGTGTGTGTGTGTGTGTGTGTAAGAAAGAGAGTTTCCTTGTGCACCAGAATGCCAAGAAATAGGAAAAAATACTCTTAGTGTCTCCCCAGTAGCTATAAATTAATGTCAACTTTCTGTTCCTGTTTATATCAAACAACTTAAGTAACTTATTGTGTATGTTATATATCTACATATTATATATTATATATATAATTATATATGGTGTTATATATATGTGTGTATGTATTCTGAGCATATTTTATAATACATGCTGCATTCATTATTTAAAAGCTGCTATAATCCAGCAATTTCCAAAACTCAGGAGTTTGACAATAGAATAAATCAAAGATATTCCACTAACAAGTTTTCTCTATGTACTATTTAAAACCATTTTCTCACCAACAGGTGTTGCTTTCCCTTCATATTCAAGTATATTTTGCATAAAACTAACAGCTGTTTTTATTATTTGTTTTTTGGGTACAGAAAATTGCTACTGAGGTTGCCACTGACTCTTCACCAACTAACCTTTAAACCAAGACATGTATGTAATTTCCTTATTAATCAAATATATTAACTTCATCCATCTTAGTTCATGACCAAAATCCAAAGCTTCCAGGCATAATCCTGATGAAGAATATATTACACAGCTGAAAGAATTCAAATTCTAATTTATATTGCCTTGAATAGCAATTAAAGGGTCATAAAGGACAAAGAGTCCACGAAAGAAATCTGTAAGGGAAGTGACTTGTAACCAAAGGTGAACAGATGTGGGCTGCATCCGCTTGCCCAGAGGCAACTGCAGATCATGTGGACTAGTATCCCACCTCTAGCAAGCTCAAGTTGAAATTGGAAAATGTTGCCGGAAATTGTTAGCAATTACATCAAAATCTGAATGACTGAAAATTTGATTACTCCATCCTTATAACACTGAGCTCTAATAGGGACCAATAAAGGCTACGGTATACATGCATCTGGCATTACTGCCTCAAATTAGGTTTTCAAGATCTGCTGGGTATTTACTCCCAATTTTGACAATCTAGAGATACAAAAGTTCAGTACTATTAATTATACAATGTATTTAAAAACTGACATTGCATGTAAACAAATCCAAAATGACTACTACTTTAACATAAATATCTATCAAGCATCCAAGTGTTATAAAGGGATTTTTTAGTTTTTTTATTTATAAATAATTACAGATTTGTAGAAAATTGCAGAGATAGCACAGAAAGATCCCTGGTACCCTTCACCCAGTTTCCACATGGGTTCCATCTTATATAGAGTACCACATGAAAACCAGGAAACCAATGATACATTGTTTGCATAGTTCTATATTATTTTATTACATGTGCAGATTCKTATAACTCCATTGCAATCAGGATACAAAATTATTATAGGCAATTTCATTTGTTTTTCTTAGAAATAAAATTATATTATAATTTCAGATAGAAGGTTTTCAACAACTTATTCTATAATACAATATTAAAATCATCAATATCTATGAGATTATTACTTAGGAAAACTCAATGTTTCTGGGCCAAAGTGAAATTCTAATAATTCAAATGACCTTCAGTAAACTTACTGCCCTGCACAGATCAGACAATTCCATAATCCAACAATCAGCTCTCCTCAGATGAATGGAAGTGCATTTTTTAGCACACAGTTAATCAAAGACATCTTGCCAAAAACCTTACCAGTACACCAAAACTCTGTTTCCCAGTGAGAATCCTAGACACAAGTACACATACATCTCCTTTCTCTGGAAAAAAAGAGCACTTCACAAGTATCCTTAATTAATTTACGAGTTTACCATAACAAAGAGCACATTAATAAGTATACACAAAGAAACAATGCAATAAATCAGCCAGATTATTCTGAACAAAGTCTTATTGTAGTTTATTTTCTCTAGCAAGTAAATATAAACCAAATTATTGCAAATTCCACTTCTGAATCAACTCACAATGGAGAAATATTTGAGATCTCTCTCTTTCTCATACACACACACACACACACACACACACACACACACACAAAACTGAAGTCTTACCTTGGCCATTTGTGCCTGCACGCCATTTGCCTTGAGGGATGCTACAGCTTTCTGTGCGGCTGCAGGACTGTCAAAATCTACAAAACCATAACCTGTGAAAACACAAAAGCACCTGTTAGTACACACAGGTAGCTGCACCTCTATCACAGTGATGGGTATGGGATTATGGTAAGACTTATATTCGTTTCTTCTAAATATAAACAGATTGAATATGAAGGCTCTCAAATCAGTGGTCCTTAGTACTTGGGAGAAGTACCACAATAAAGGAGTAACTCATTTTTAGAGAGCAATAAATCAGCAGCAATCTGATTTAGATCTATTTGGTGATAAGGCACTATATTGTTCTATGTCCTAAGTTCTTTCTTCAGTGGACTTAATTCAGGAGTGAGAACAAGATGCTGCAGAATATAAAAATATCTATCTCTGAAGTTAATTTTCTTACATAAAACCAGCATGTGGTTATCATGAGCCACCACAATAGTACCTGCCACACATTAGGTTTTCATCAAACAGATGCTGGCTGCATGAATAAATGAAGGCTGTGGGTGAGTTAGGACTTCAACCTAGATCTTTTTGGTTTACAAAGCTAGAACTTCATCACAGAACCTTGTCTCTTCCAATGTTAACATCTTAAAATATTTCAACTGTTCAGTGATCTATGAAGGAGTGATTCAGTAGATTATATTCAAGCTTTTAAAAATAAGAAGCAAATAACCACTTGTTGGTTACCTGAACACAACCTAAAAAGACATGAGTTGTTCATGACTGTGGTCCTGTGAGTGTGTATACACCGAGTAGTAAAAGAATAAATGAAATGAGAGTTTTATATGCCCTAATGCTAACCAATATTAGTCCAGGGCTTAGCCTAATGGCAATGTCAGCGGCCCCAAGAATATTTAAAAATATAAATGTTCAAGAAGGAATATGAGGGCAGGTTTGGTGGGTGCTCCTAAAAAGCCAACCATATATTTCTACACCTCCTCTTATCTGTTAAGCAGGGATTTGCTCTGTATTTTCATACATACCCCACTTAGAAGTTTTGAGGCGAGCCACAGACACAAACCAACTAACCATGTGCTCTGACCCCTCCTCCCCCACCTCAGTAACCAAAGATGAGAGCTAGGGAATTCAATTACCAAGTTGTTTCTTTTAATTAACTTTTTAATTTTCTCCCCTCGAATCCCATCTTCGTTTTCTCCCTCCCAGCATGGAAGCCTAAAATGAACTTGTTACACAGCAGTGTACCATAAAATGCTCTTGAAAAGCTGGGCAGAGAAGCTGTGAAGTTTGTATTTCTAATCCAAAAGGAAGTCTGCTCTGTTAAGTACTGCTAATTCTTCTCTTCCTGCAAAATTCAAACTATGTGGGTAATATAACTATTGCCACCCATAAGGATGAGTAAAATAGAAAAAAAATAATAGCAGAAAGAAATAGTATAAAAAGTCAAGATGTGGAATTAGGGCAAAAATTAAAAAAAAAAAAAACCTAGAATTGAGACATTATCTTCTTATGCCATAGGCTATCCTAGATGTTTGTCATGTTGACATGTAGTGATGTCATAAGAGTTTCATGCAACATTGGTCTCATACTCTTATGTATACATAGAAACTGAGGCACAGATGAGAGGATCAATGGGTCAAACATCACAAGTCATTTAATTGGCAGATTCAAGAAGTGAAACCAAGGCTGCATAGACCCTTTCAAATACATCATACGGTGAACTGTTTTACAATCCTATTTTGTAAACTCTGAAGTTCACCGGAGAGAGGATTTAATCCTGAAAAGTGACTTGGGTTTTGAAGTTAGGACATGAAATGAAATAATTCATAAAAGTATTCAATCCAGCTCATTCAGTCAGTGCATTAGTTAATGGACTACCTGGTCTACAGTCAAACTCTCCAAAGGAGGACTGGGCATTCCCCATCTTCTACCTCATGCTTTAAGTCAGTCTTCCTCATTTACTCATAGCTTCATTCCGTCATTCAATACTGAAATGCTCTGTCAGGCAATATGACAAGCATGGCGTATGAAGTCTTGAGAAAAAAATAGCCCCAGTTCCCACTTTGATGCAACCCACAGTTGAGTTGGGATATGGACATGAGGCAAATAACCAGACAAATGAATCCATGATTATACATCAGCATGTCTCCCTTGAAAGACAAAGAGAGACTCTAATACAGAATCTAACAATTGATTATTCATTAGTGAAAGTTTTAAGGAAACAGTAGCATGAAATGAAATACATATCACCTTAGTTGAACACTAAAACATCGCAGAAAAAGTGATCTGCATGAGTAGATTAGGGGGATGACTTAGGAGCTATTGCAGCAATCCATAGAAATGGCAGCTGGCAGTGAAACTGACTGGATAAAGTGGATGATTTGAGCTATATTTTGGAGGCAGAATTAAGAGAACTTGGTGATACATTTAGTGGGTTGGGAGTAAGGGGGGGGCAGATGACAAGGATTACTACTGGGTTTTTCCATAAGCCCTGGGTGAGTGGAGACGTGACCTACTGGGATGGGGAGAGTGGAAGAGGTTCCAATAGGAGGGAAAGTAAAGATACTGGTTTGAGACATATTGAGTCAGAAAAGCCCATGAGACCTCTCAGTAGAAATGTCAAGGAACAGTTGTACATATTAGGCTGGTGCTCAGAAAAGCAGATGGAATTGAAAATTCAAATCAGGAAAGCAAGAGCATAAAGATGTTATTTAAAGAGATGGGAATAGACAACAATGTCTATAGTAAGTATTTTTTTTTAAAGGATCTAGGTTTGGAAACTGAACAGCATCAGCATTTAGGTGCAAGACCAGAAAATGAATTTGCAAAGAAGGCTAAAGGAGAATCCAAGAGGAAGAAGGAAATAAAAAGGAAAGATGATGTCTCAAAGCCAAGGTAAGAACATTTTCCAAGAAGGAAAGAGAGGGTGAGCCAGCAAGAGGCTTGAAAATGCCCAGTGAGCTCAGCAACATGGTGCTGCTAGCATCCTTTGCTTCAGAAAAGTGATGGGAATGAAAGGCTACCTGAGAAGCTGGAGAGTAAGGAAGAAGAGGAGGTAAAGAGCATTTACAGGCCCTCTCTAGTTAGTTATCTTGACTGACTGGGAGAATTAAGAGGCAAAGTTGCTAGCAGGGATATGAGCTCAACTGAGCTTTCTGTTGCTTTAAGATAGGAAATTTGGTGGGTAGATATGTGCTTATGTGGCTGGGAATATTCTCACCTTGTTCCAATGTGAACAACAAATATTTATTGAACGCTTATTATAAGAAAATTCTGTTCTTCGCACTTTTGAATATGTATTGGAAAGATCAAGCCAATAATAAAAGATTAAAGCTTTAAGAAAGCAATGAGATAATACATAGAATTACATTCCTGAGAAGGTAGAGGGGTAGGGAGGGTGTCTAAGACACAGATGAACATATGAAAGCACTATGCCTTCCCTCCCAAGAACTAGAAAGAAGAACAAAGTGCATTCTTGGTTACCAAGTGTTATTCTTTGCTATTCTCTCTGTTACTGGGACTGTACCTAATGCATAGCCAGTACTTAATAAGTATTTGTTAAAATAAACTCAAAGCATGTTTAAAAGACGTTAGATTACTTTTCAGACTACTATGGTGACTAACTGATACAAATGTCTATTAATTATTCTTGATTATAAAAAATAATATTAATGCAATGTCATGGCTGTGGTGTAGTCATGCTTGCTCCGCAAGGCAGCCCCATACTGTGTGACTCTTGTTCTTTACTCTAATGTGACTTCGTTCTAACTTCCTCACTTTCCTTCCAACCCACACATTATACAGGATATTACACAATCAAGATGATGATCTCCAGAGCTGAACTCCTATCCAAACAGCAGAAATTTCTGCAAGGACATGAGACATCCTGAGCGTCTCTGAAATAGGGAACTCATGGCTGAACTTTGAATAAAGTGTACATCTCAAGAGTCATAAAGCCAGCCAGGAAAGAGAGAGGGCCCTTCATCCAAAACATCTGTACCGATGGCTCCAAGCCAACAGAGGAGCAAACACTCCATGAACAAAATTATAAATAAAGGATAAGTCACCAAATCTGAAGTAGTCCACTGAGTTAAGTGACTTTCATAAATACTTTCACTAGTTAAAATGCAAGTTCAGAGGTAAAAAAAATATCTAAAGCAACCCTGAAAAAAAATACTCCCATTCTGGAAATAAACCTTGCATTCCCAAGTTTTACGTGACAGCAGATACTACATCACAATCAGAAGAAAACAAAATGAAATACGAGGCTCCCTAGAGAGAATAATGATGCATTTACTGAGGAATAAAGCAACTTCAATTTGGTTTCAATTTGCTTTCCTTAATGACAAATAATCAAGTCTGGGAACAGGAACCTCTGTACCTACATCTGGTGAGGGGAAGGGTAGGGAGATTAGTTCAGCCTTGGCTAATAATGCTTTATGGTCACTGCTAAAATCCCCGACAGAACTTGGGCAAATGCTAACCATTGGAAACCCTGGGCCCACGTGGTTGCAAGCCCACCCGTATCACTTTCCCAATTATGTAATTAAGCTTGGCAGCAAGTTCAAATGAATTAAAACGAAATGTCACTGTTTTCTCCACACACCCCTGTCCTTGTTTTTCTTCCTTGTCAGGGGGAGAAGGCCAGCAGTTCTGCAATTAGCAGGAAGTGGAGCAGTGGGAAAGAACCGACTCTGTGATAATTAGGTCATTCACCAAACGCACTCATTCCATTGACAGATCGAATCAATGCTTTCCTGAAATGCTTTAAACCTTGTATGTTAATTGAACGTTTGGCTATTTTTGTCGCACTACTAGCCAAGTGACTTCAGAAAAAAAAAAAGATAAATATATAAATATGCATTAAATAGGTATGTGCATGTATACATGTGTATGAACATATACATGTATGTATATGCATGTATGCATATGTAGATATAAATATATAATTGCAAGAGGGTTCTTGTTTTGTTTCTTTAATGCAATCGTCATTAACATATTCCCTGTGACCTTTGCCACCCAATTGAACCATTAGGTGACAATCCACTTAGAATTTCATTCGAAGGCTCTTTACTATCTTTTATAGCTTATT